CCTGTACATTACGAAAATATTTTTAAAATGTGCGCTCGGTAGGCGTCGGACAATTCATAAAATAATACTTTTTAAAAATCAAACGGTTTAGCCGCACACTTCCGTGCCGTATAGCGTGAATAACCCTGTATAATGCCTCACACATACAAAGCCTAACAGTGCAATCAATGAGCAACACAACAATATTACATATGTACCGGGTGATTTAAAATTGTAGAATTACAAAGAAATGGTTAAATATCCCTGCTGTGTATGTAAGATACACAGGACACAAGGGTACATTAAACATCTGGTCTAGACAACACCGGTACAAATTGAGCACGAGTTCGTTGTTTCAACCAACTTTTCACCCTCGACTTATTGAACCCTGTACTTGTTTTTAGTTGCAAAATCGACTCAAACATGACGCAGCTTTTTCGTTTCTCAAGCCCCATTGGAGCCATAGAAGTCGTTTCGACCTGAAAAATATATTCCAGCCCTCACGCAAACAAGTATGTAAGTTTAAGAAAACTTCTCCAGGTTTGTTGAAAAAATGTAGGTTAAGAAACTCACAGTTTGACAGGGTCACAGAATAGTATGATTATTGCATAAAAATCTATTTACTTTTCGCCCATTCAGGAACGTACTGTACATATAAAATGCACATCTTAGGATTCCAGGCAAACTTTTATGTATCCAACGAAAACTCAATTCACTAGCTGAATAAATAAAACTCCGAAGATTGAGAAACATTGATTCCAAAGTTTTGTGTGCGGTGAAAACACTATTCTGCTCGATATTAGATCTTTCATATTGTACCATTGCTACGAAAAATATAAAATATTTCTATATTTTCATTAAGATTGCGAAGCGAAAAAAGGAGGTAGAAAATACGTTTGATTGTTGTGCTGTCGACTATTATTTGCAACACGTTCAAAACTACCTGAAGCTGTTCGAATAATTTGTTTTCGGGAGTCAGGAAGAAGATTAATTCATTCGAATAAATAGCGAATTGCCGAAGCGTGAAATTTATTATCATCGCAGTTGTACGAAGCAGACTATTTTAGTGGATAAACATGTTTGGCGATAGTTTTTAAATGTAGAAATGCTAGGCAAATAGTGCAGCATGCAAATTTTATTCAAGCAGCGCACCGGTGCTGCATTACAGTAATAGACAAGTTATTTTTGCAAGAGATACRAAAAAGACAAGCAGTAATGYTTTAATAGTAGGAATGAAATATGTGTTATTGAATTTTATGGTTTGGATCAGTGTTCCAAACATTGCCAGGTTTGAGAGTACGTGCTAGGTTTGGGYAMCACTGTGTTGAGTTGCGCTTCTGAGCTGTTGCCGCTCTCTGAGTTAATGAGTTATAACTCATCGGCGAAWGAGTCATAAYTCATTTACKAAAGCGGATTAAAGCTKTACGAAACCCTAGACTGGAATTTTAACATTCGGAGTATYGTTTTTGCAGCAAAYGRAACTCTGTTACTGAGTACCAAGYCATTTGCGCAGCRCTTGCACTTAYTTGAAAAGGAGATTTTCCTGGTTTTTGGTCTAAAACGAGAAAAACMGCAAKCTTTGAGTTTTCCAAATAGTTGATCGTATTTWTATCGCYTTTGTTTTCTCTGATCGCTTTTTTTGRAAAACTAATTTTTTCRAGAAAAAGAACAAGAGAACTTTRTTTGGATGTTGCCCCAAAATCMAAAGTAAAACGGGTACCTATTCGAAAAAGACACCAAATGAAGRAAAAGAAGACCAAACTATAAATACGTTGAGGAAACTAAAAATATTCTTAATAAATGGCCCTTAAAATAAATCGAAGAACAACTTAACAAAAAAGTCAATTTATTGCCAGCAGCGGAACTGAGTTATTGCGCCGGTGCGTTGGGTTGGCGAGCGCAGCAAATTTTGTTGCGTTGAAACCACGAGTTATGTCACCCTTATTGACCCTGGCTGAGTTTTTTTGAAAACTCGCTTTAATAGGAAATTTCTGGAAGTTTCCATGATTTTTTTAATTACTAAGACGAGTCGACTGACCGTTGGTAAACACAAGTTTTTCAAAAATTTGTCAAGGACAAATAAAAAAATTCCGAATGCGGCCGATAAGATCACTCGAAAGAGAAAATCAGCTGCTTAAAGTGAGGAAAAACTCACTTGATTAGGAAATTTATGGGAGTTTCTAGTTACTAAGGAGAAG